CCCGGGTAAGGCATTCCACTGGCCTGGGGACAGAGCAGGAAGGAGGTGAAATAGCCTTGGGCTTAAATTCTCACAAGTGCCTCATATCCAAGAACTCCTGGAATGAAAGACAATTGGCCCCCAGGTTGTGTGGGTTCTTAAAAAGACCAGTGTGGGGAATAGGGATTATAGGAAGCCTGGCTTATTCCTATCTTTCTTTGGAATTCTGTGATGAACAATAAAGGTGCAGGTCACCCCAAGTTTTCTAGGGAAATATGACTGTTGGGGTGGCAGAGGGGTTTTGATGATGGTCTCTGTGATCCTGAAGTATCAGGTGCATCCCTCAGGAATTGTTGCTTTGCTTTTAGAGGACTGCATATCTTTTAAGAACCTCCCATGTTACTTTACATCCCTAAAACCTCCTGCTCTCCCTCCAGAAAGACGTGGGACTGCTTTGGGTGCTGCACAATATCTCTCCATGTCTGTAGGATATGTTGCATGGGAATAAATGTGTATTTGGGAACAATCTCACTGCACTTCCAATTCCAAATGGACAAAAGAATGCAAATTTACCATTCTGCAGATAGACCTCTCTTTTCCACTGTTCAATGATTTTCTTTTCCTAGCTAATGACAGGATACTTTGAGAGCTGCACAGAAACTCTGGAATTATGTTTGGTAGTAAAATACATTGAACCAAAAGTATCAAAGTCTCTTTTGAGTCTGCTGAAATACTTAATGTGTTGAAGTGAAAGTTTCCAGGATGTGAGCAACCTCCCCCTTTTGTTCAAATAAATTTGAACATAACCATAAAAGATGAATCCCTTCCAGAAGAAAGCAGTGGTAGGAATTCATGGCTGTACTGTCAAGTAATGCAAACTAGTGGGACTCAGGTGAGCATTCTGGGGTCAGATAAAACAAATCTTCTGCTCTCTGAACTACAGTTGCACTGTATGCATTATTGCTTGCTGAAGATCCTGCCCAGGGAGCTATTGCAGAGAAGCAGCCTGGTTGTGTTCTGGCTGTTTGCAAGTCCTGGAGAGGAGACCACATGAAAAGCCTTTCAAGGTCTTCTCAGAGAACACAGAAGGCACAGCACTGACAGGCTCTGGCCAAGCCTGGTACAAGAGCTGGGAAGGCAGTGTTGGATTTCTGGTGGGTGTCTGGCTGCTGCAGGTGTGCACAAGTGAGTAGTTCTGCCTGTTTGATCAGGAGAGCTGACCCATGAAGTTGTGGCAGAGCACAATTTGCCTTTCACCTCAGTTCCTCAGCACTAGCACAGGGCTGATGGGGAAAGGGGGTAAAATCAGAGCTCCTTGGTCAAACTTCCATCAGTACCCTGGGATGAACAAAATGTTCGAACTGAGGGATCTCTTGACCCACCTGCAAGGCAGACACCATGCAAAATGAAAAGCCTCATGCACCTCTCTCTACCCAAGAGACCCCTCAGGATGCTCCTGTCAAAGCAGACACGTCAATCTTGGTGGATGTGTCTGACAGCTTTTCATAAGCTGAGCCCTTTCTGGCAAGGAAGTCTGCTGGAGGATTCCTTTCAGTTCCATGGTTTTAGTCTCATCCAAATTGCTAATCTGAGTTCAATCCTGACATTGGTTTTTGAGATCACCCTTGANAAGGTAACCACATCCTGAAGGGGAGATAAGGCTTTGCTCCCCCTGCCTGAGCTCCTGCAGCCCTCAAGAGAGCCTCTGCCCAGGACACAGCAAGGGCTGCTGCACTGAGCTTGCTCAGCTCACACCCTCAGGCCTGGAGTGCTGAAAAGTCCTTTGAAAAGAAACTTCAGTTCCTTTTCCTCTGGGCAAAGGTGAACAAAACCCCTGACTAAAAGTATATAAAGAAAATTCAGCAGACATTAAAATATCTCAGCAGACTGGGAGCAGCACAGAAGATAGAAAAAAGATAACGACCATTAATGAACATCAGCTGCAAACACCAGCCCTGGCATGGTCAGAGACACCTGGTCTGGGAAAAGATCCATGAGAGAACCAAGACTGATAACCAAAATAACATCAAAGGTGTAGTGATCAATAAAATACCAAGCACTACAAACTGTGGAACTTGGCAGCAATGAGCATTTAACTAAAGAATTTCCCTGGGTTTGGACTGTAGAAGCACAAGAAAACTCCAGTGAAACCGTTGTGGGATAGAAGGATTTTCTCTGCACAACCCGTGCAATGTGTGGATGAAATTATTTCACTTGCACCTCCTAGCCAGAATAAAGTAATGCCTTGATTCTCTGTCATGCAGTGTGGTAAGCTGTCCTGCTGATCAAGTCAAAATGGTGAGAGCTCTCTCCAGTGGCAGACAACATTAAAGCATCCTGAAAGAATAAAGCTTTCTCCAAGAGGTTACATGGGAAAACACAGTGATGAACACAATGAGAATTGGCACCACTAAACACTATTTTGTACCACTGAACCCTCCAGTTTTCTTACACCACATTAAAAATGCAATGTAATAATCATATTCCTGCATCTGCTAGGCATAATCGGCCCTATCACTTTTGTGCCCAAAATCCTATGAACTTCCTGACAAAATTAGATCTAACACAAACAGAAACTCAAAAAGAGTATGGTTAATAACCTCACAGTAAGGCAATTTCTCTTTCTCTCTTTGCCTTATATTTCAGTCAGCAGATATGGTCTGAACTAAAGTAATAGGAACCTGAACTTCCCCCTGCAAAACCATTCAGGACTGGGTAGTGCAGGCCTCCAGGGAATGTCTGTCTTTCCAAGGACAGCTTTGAAAATAGATGTCAGTTTGGGATTTCTGTAGGTGGGGGGCTTAGTTGATTCCTGGCCATGCCAAAGCCTCTGACAATCAGGGGAATTCAGGGAAATTCCTCTCTTGTGACCTGTATTGAAACATAACCTGCAAGGAGACAGAGCAGAGAGACCCCAGCCTTGATTATGATGGCAACTCTAACGGCACTGGTCACACACTGTTTTGATGGCAGAGCCTCTGGCCATGGGGTTCCACCTGCCTGAGAACACTACTAGATCATCCTTGGGACAATATCTTTCTCTAACACTTGATAGCAGCCACCTCCAGAGGCTGAGTGTTTCTGTCCTCTCCCCAATCCCCTTCTCGGTGCCCACAGCCCTGCACAATATCATCATGGGAAGCTCATGTGGGAACATCCACAGGGTTCGGTCCCACAGCCACAGGAACAGTCCCAGCAGCATTGGCACCAGTGGCTCCATACCTGATACAACTAATGCTGAGATCAGGTTGGTCTGCAGCCCACTCTGGGCAGATCTGTTCTTATCTCAACCGTTCATGCCACACACTGGATGTGAAATAAGGCTGTTGGGGTTTAGGAATGGAATTTCCCAATTTAATGTTCCCACTGAGCCACTGCAAATCAAGCCTGAGGCTCTTTCACAGGATCACACAAAGTGTTAATATGGAGAGGGTTCACAGAAAGATGGGGACCACGCACGGTGAGAGACAGCCAGGAGGGCAGCAAGAGCTTCAAGCTGTGCTCCTGGTGCCCCACCTCTCCCCCTCAGTGCTGTCACAGGCAGAGGGAGGGACCAGCAGGGCCTGGGCCTGAGAGCAGTGCCAGAGGCCCAGGCAGGGCAGGTGTGGGCAGAGCTGTTGTGCAGGCGCAGAGAAGCTGCAGAGAGGCCACTGAGAGCGGGCCTGGCCATGTGGAGTGCCCTGTGCGNTGCTGAAGCCCAGTCAGTATGTTCCTCTGATTTTCTATGAGAAATGTCAACTAAACATTTTTTTATTATCCTGTATAAATGGTGTATATAGTTTAAATTACCTTTTCTATATCATGCTACAGAAGAGGAGGCTGAAGAACCAATAACAGGATTTGGGGAACAAAACAGAACCAGAACAGAGTTAGGGGCCAGTGAGAGGGTTTGCAACAGCACAAACATCTCAGCACAAGGTGAGTTACCCAAACAGGATGTGAAGTTACATTGCTCTCTGGGGGATAAAGACATGGAAATGTATTTTCTCCAGGGCAGAGGACTCAGAACACAACACATTCACCAGACACAAGCTGCTGTTCCAAGGTTGCTGTTCCAAGGTTGCTGTTCCAAGGTTGCTCTCCTGTTGTTGCCATGTTCTCTCTCAGCTCTTCCTTTGCTGCTCTTCCTCTCCCTGAAACTCTCACCTGTGGATTTTCCACTTTCTGCCAAGATCACAGCACCAAAACCTAGACCATGATCTCTCCCCTCTTTTCTGGTCGCTGAGCAGATGCTGGAGGGCAGAGAGTGAACATGCTGTCCATGACTGTGCTGGGTTTGAGAGTCCTGCTGGCAAAGAGCATCGCCTTCAATGCCCTCATGAGCATCAAGTTGTTTCTTTTCTGAGGTAAGGGAGCTCACAGTTCTCAATCACTGTTCCATAGCCCCAATTTCATTAAATGTACTTTAAACCTCCCTTTGCTCTTCCAGACATGGGGAATGAACCCAAAGAAGAGCAGGAAACAACGTGAACCAGCAGCACAAGGGGGCTGAACAAGCAGGGCCAGAGCTGCTGACAGAGACCAGCCAGGACACGAGGCAGCACCTTCCCCTGAAGACACGCAACACTCTGCACTCCTGCTGGCCAGCTGATTTACACTGAAGAGTTTTAAGTGCTTTTGCTGTTTCCTCTCCTCTGAACACTGAGGAGAGTGGATTTATCCTCATCCTCCTGCTAAGCAGATCCCCCCACTCTTCTGGGATTTGCACACCAGAGTCCAACCTGCTTCTGTAGCTTTGAAAACTCCAGTGCCCACTGCAGATAGATGGCCTTTGCAAAGCACCTTTCCCAGGCATGTTGTGTTACTGCCTGTGGAACTGGAGCAGCACTGCTGGGGGACTTCCAGCACAGGAGCTTAGGGTTTTAGATAATTTAAATATCCAAAAGTGTGTATTGCAGATAAGAAGACCTGTGTAGAATCTGGAGCGATTTAATTCAGCCAGATATTGTTCATTTCTTGATTAAGCCTGTACTTTTTCTGCCAAATGTATTGCATGTCATTTTTATGTTCGTGCAGTAATGACAAAAATAAAAATGTACTAGCACAAAATGCTGTGGGTTTTCTGTGCTTTTTCTTCTAAAGCTTGGATAGAGATTGCTGAAATCCAACTGTCCTAAAGTCCACTGGGGTCAGAAACACAGCTTAAATAATGTACATTTCCTTTTGGTTGAATTTGTCTTTTGCAGACGTTGTGCAGGGAAATGTCTCTGGCACAGTCAGGAGCCTCAGTGAGGAGAGTCCTTGCTGAAGGCACAAGGGAGGGAAAATGCTCCTGTCAGCAGAGAAGAAACCCTGCTGCTGTTTTGCACTCAGGGACAGGAGGAAGGGGCCACCAGAAAATCATTTGGGGTGGTTTGATGGAGTGATAGTTTCCATAGCAACTTGGCTCTTGCCTAACAGAGCCCAGCCCACACCTTCCCCAGCTCATG